CTGTCTATGTACTATTCTACAGAGTCTTCTTTTTTTGGCCTGAGTAAGTGTTTGCAATTTTGGAATTTGATACGTTTCTGAGCAGTAATTCAATATTCAAAGGCTGTTTAGAGCTTCCCGACAATGGTCTGTGGTGGTCCAAGCCAGAGCTCCAGAGATGCTATAACAAAGCTCTTAAAACAGTAAAATTGTTTTACTTGAGATTCTTCTGGTGCTTTTAATAACCCTCTGTTCTACACATGGAGTGGTAAAAGCAAAGAGGGATGTAGGGCCAAGCCACATAAGGACAGGATCCAAGATTCATGGCTCCCTCCCCTCTCTGCTGTCTCCCTCAGATGGGCAAGGAGGTCAGACCTAAAAGGGGTGATTTGAATCTGTTCCAGGTCTTAAACCTGAGAGCCCATTCCCTTTTTGCTGATGCTGGCCGTGTGTCTCAGCCAGCATCCTCTTCCAGGATTGCAGCCTTCACATTCCTTTTCACTCGGATTCACAGTCAGGCGCTCTCTTTCCCGGATGCCTGTTCCTTGCACCTTCACCCTCAGGATTTCAAAAGCCTCAGATCCAACATCCAGGAGTCTGAGGGCAGCTCCTGTTTTCCACAAAGGGCAGGCAGCTCAGCAAATCTTCAGACAATAAGAGAGAATTATTTCCAACTTCGATCCACCTGGAATAAAGTGGAGTTGATGATGTTGTAGGGAGTCGTGACCCCAGGACTGGGAACAGCAAATCTAACTATGTTTGAGCTCTCCAGTAGCCCTCAGTGTCCAGTTTCATCAGCACAACTGTCTGGGGGTTTCCAGGACATCTTCCAAGTGATAGATGTGTTTTGTTTTCTGCCCTTGTAGGACAAATGACTTTGGAGCCATAATCAAAGGGGAGTAGGCAGGCACTGTAGGTCAGCTCAGGATTTGTGCTGGCTCTGTTGGAGGAGAGCCCAGTGTTTGCACAGAACAAGCAGGAGCCTGTTTCCAGGGCTGGAAATGTTACACTTGGCCATCCCAGCAAAATTTACACCTCAAGGATACATAATGGAGGCAGGAAGGTATGGAAAACCTTCCGCTCTGCCCATGTCCAGGTTCAGCAGGGACAAGAGGGGCCCAGACCTGCGGCAGCCTTGCGTGAGGGAGCTGCTGAGGAAACCAAAGCCTTCACTTGAATTTGGGAGTTCATTCCAGTTCAGTGAGGCAAGGGATACTTCCATGCCTGCTCTCCACACAGGGGTCTGCTGTTTGAGCCTGTTGCATCCAGGAATGATTAAAGCTGGAATGTTTCCTAGGGAAATTCTGTAAGTTCGATAGGACATTCAGTTAGGGAAGGGGAATGAGAGCACGTGGTGTGCTGGTCACTGACTCTGCCTCTGACAGACCTCACTGAGAACTCACAATGGCTTTGCAGGGAGGAACAATGACCATGTGAAATTTGGAAAATAAATAATTAGTTGGGATTTTGCTGCCTGTTTTTTCCCAAAGCCCTGTACCCGCCTTCGGTGATGTTCAGAAAGCTGTTGCTTTATCTGCACTTTAAGCTTCAGCTTGTAAATAGCAAAATCCCTATGATCAGAATGATTTTAGATACAGTGAAGCCCAAAAAATGCCAATTTCTCTGCTATCCACCGAAGAAAATGGAGTGATGGGTTTGTAATACAGCAATAAACCACAGTGCCTTTGTGGGTGCAAACTGTTAGCCTGAGGTTCCCTGCAAGACAGAGGAACAAAGGCCACTTCTCTTTCATCAGCCACTTGAGCAGTACAGACCCCCCACCACCCTCCCCGAATGAAAGGTTTCGCTGGTGTCTTTATTGCCAGGAGAAAATGAAAATTATATGCAAAATATAGACGAGAAAATTCGTATCTCTGCGTTTGAGTGCTGTGCTGGGTATGACATCACTGGGAGCCAATCAGCAAACTCCCTTTGTGTCTGGCTTTCTAATAAAAGCCACTTCATCAGAGTAATTTGCAGTAATAATTTATTCACCTTCTAGGAACGGCACCACCTGACTCCCTGAGCAGCCAGGGAGAATGAGTGAGCAAAGGTCCTGAGCCCCAGATGTGGCTGTGCCCTGGGTGGGCACAGCTCCAGCTCTGCCTTGATAAGAGTTACTTTCAAATTGCAGATAATAGAAGTGATCACATGTGTTCATTAATTACCCCATGGCTGAGCACCCCTAAAGCTTCTCAGTGCTGCAGGTGCCCAGAGCAGGGGATGCTTCCCAGCAGGAAAAACATCTCTGGGGTTGGAAGTGTTGCACTGGGGCCACATAACAGGGCTCTGCAGTCCTGGGCAGGGTGGGAGGGGAGTGTCTCCCGTTGCTCTGCAGGGGAGACGAGGGGCTGCTTTGCATGGACTCAGGGAAGAATTTGGCCTTTTGAATTTGGGGTTTGCCTGGGTGAGGGGCAGGGAAGCCTGTGCTGGAGGCACAGAGAGAAACTGAGGCACCACAGCAGTGTGTGCAGTTCAGATGCCTGCTGCTGTGCAGGGGAATGTCATGGATATGGCCATGGAGATGGCTTCTGGCACTAGTGTCACTCAGTGCAGCTCACAGGAACCTTCTTTGCAGGCTGGGATAGCTCAGAGCACCTTGGTGGCATGCAGCCTTCCAGGCAATGAGTAATAGCTCTGTGAACGAGGACAGACCCCACAAAAAAGAGCAGCAGGCTGTGGGATCTCTCCCCGAATCCCAAGAAAATGTTGCTTCAAGCAGCACTCTGGGGCTGAGTAATCTGGTTGTGCAGGAGACATGTGGGCTGCTCGTCCCACATGTCTCTAGTAGGAGCTTCACTGTGCCAGTATGTTGTGTGGGAGGCTCTTCCAGAGCTGTGTGTAATTGCTACATTGGATGTATATTCTGGTGGTGTAAACTCCCCTAATCAGATTCTGCACATACAATGCTGGATTTGGAAACAGAGCACTGAACAGAGACCAGCCCATGAAGACAACCAAAACAAGAGATCACTTCTACCCTGAATGATTCATTCTGTTTTACAACGAGCAAAAGCAGCAGAGCAGATGTCCTGAGCTGGCCTGAGGAAGCCCAGGCAGACACACCAATACAACCATCAGCACACGGGTAATGGAGATCTCAACTGAAGATGCAGCCAGGCAAAAACCCATCAGTTGTTTGGGGGTCTTCATTCTCATTGTGTGCAACAGCAGCCCTCCTCTCTGGCTGAGTTGTCAGCATTGTATCTATGCAGCCTTTGGAGATTTTGAAAGAAAAAAAAAAAAGCAAGTAATTCAACCAGTGGAGTTAATTTGCTCTGTAAATCCTGCTGTGAGTGCATCCAAGCAGGCTTTGTGTCAGAGGTTTCTCTGGTAGCTCCCTTGCCCATGTGTGCATTGATCCTGGAGAGCAGGACAGCTCCTGGTGATGAATAACCCACCTCTCAGCTCTTCCCTAGGGAAGTGCTCAGCCAGCATTCCATACAGTGCTCATAGGGTCCATTATGGATCACCTTGGAGGAGCTGCTTGAGGAGGTACAACCTTGTTAGAGCTTCTTGAGAGACTCACAAGGATCAGATCCTGTGCCTGTATGGCTGTTGGTGTGCTGGGAAGTACGAGAAGCCACAAGTAGTGGAAAGGAGGATTAGTGGTGAAGATGTGCTTCCCTGGAATTCCCAAATAAATCTAGATATGCTCTACTTGGATGTGTTACTCTCCATGTGATAGCAAGCCTGAGGGGCACTAAATGTCTACAGTAAGAGTGGGAGGTGCATGGCCCCTTTCTGAATCCAGACTTTCCAGGTTTGCCATTCCAGTCTCTCACTGGAGTTGTTTCCTTGGGTTTCTCCAGGATCACCTGCAGCAACCAGGAGACCCTGGCTGCAGCCCCTTGTGGGTGCCACAGGCTAGCAGTGAGGGGTATCCCTGCCAGTGATCCCTAGGATAGCTTCCCACCAGCCCTGATTGTGCTGTGACACCTACTCATGCTCATTTGGGACTTTGAACACTGGAAGTGATATTCCAGGTGCAAGGCAGACCCTGGCCCCTACTCCCATACTGTAAAGCAACACTGAGGGGCTTTGGGAAGTGTTTTCCTGTTTGGATTTCACCCATTTACTTGGTTAGGTTGAAGAAGAGATAACTGGGGAGGGGGAGGTGGTGCTGCCCCCAGCCTCTGTCTGTAGGACCCTTTTAAGCCTTGTTTATTGATTTACTTTGAAACGACATCCTTGGCTCAAATGAGTGCAATCAGAGGTGGCAGAACTCCAGAGCAGAAGAGTTTATAACATATTTTCTAGGAATTGCATGTCATATCTGAAGGGAAAATGGAAGGGTAACATAAACACACACAAAGCCTGAGGATGATGTCTATTACTGTGTGGAGACAGTGGTCTCAGAGCCTGGAGTGATCTGATGAAGTCTGGTAGTGGAAATTTGGGCTAAGCTGTGCTTTGCAGGCTGGATTCTTTTATAAATGAAGCTGTGTAAAAGAAATTCTGGATTGCTGGGTCAGGTAAACAACAAGGCAGGCAGCCTGCTGAGACCAGGCCACTTTGTCCTGACTAACTGCATTTCATGGAGCCTGGCTTTTGGATAACCTCTGCCGGTCACCCTGGCACCAGCTCGCTGAACTTTGCCTCTGGGGTTGCACCAGACAGTGATGTTAAGGCTCCTCACCCCATCACAGCACCACAGCAGGTCTGTATATCTTGCTTCCATCAGGGATCATGTACTTTAAACCTGAAAGCAGTTTGCCTTTGTTCTGAACAGACAGAAACATAATGCTTGGACTGTTTAAGTGCCTCACCCTCTCTTCTCCACTGACTTGGCCAGGCATTTCCAGGTTTTAAGACTGACATTATTAGCCTCAGATTAGGCAGCAGCAAAATTGCTTAAACCTAGCTTAGCGGCCAGAATAGGCCCTGTAATGCAGCCCTTTTGTCCTTGGACCATTGTCCCAGTGGTCTGTTCCCAGCCCCCCTTCCTCTAGCTCTGCCTGGGGCTTGCTGGACTTGCTAAGAGCCTCTCTGCAGCTAGGAATGGATCTGCTTTTTTTCAGGATCTCTTTGTTGTCTTGAGCTCTCAGGGTGGCTGCCTAACACCTGCAACACTCCCACATCCCTGTGTAAATTGCCTGCATCCCTCACTGACAAATGAGAGGCCATTGCCAGCAACAAGGTAACCTGGCATTCCCTTCGAGCTGCCTTCTGCTTCCCAGCCAGCTCCAGGTGAGTGGGTGAGCTCAGCCCTGGCTTGTGCCCAGCTGGCTCTGTAATCTGGGGTCAATTGAGCCTTTCAGGATCCCACTGCTCCTGCCCCTGCAATCACAGACACGAGCTCTGGCTCTTCCAGCACCTGGGAAGCAGCTGAATAATGCTGGGTAGGCTCAGCTTCCCACAAAACTCCCTGCCAGCTGCAGCTGTGGGCTTGTCTTTTCCAATCTATGGCTACCACTAGCACACTGACATCACAGTTTGCTTTCTCTTCAGGTCTGGTAGTGACAAGTCTACCTGTTGGTGGAGAGGGGGGTTTGTTATTCCCCTCTGCCCAGTTGCCCCTGCCTTGAAGGATGTGGGGCTGTGCCTTGCCCTGCTTGACAATCCTCAGGTACTGTCAGCTACTTCACCTGCTCCATCCTTGGCTATTTGCCCAGCCCTCCTATCTTCCTGCTCTGTGTTCCCTCTCGGGGTGACCTTATTTACAAATTTTGCATATTTAATATCCTGCTGATGACTCACAGAGTGATCCCTTTCCTTCTAAACTGTCCTGCACTGTCCAAATTAATTCATGTTCTGCTTTCTGACAGCCCTTCCTGGACACCTACATCCTGCCTTCAGCTCAGGAGTTTTAAATCTCCTCATGCTTGCTCTTCCTGCTCCTTTCTTGATGTCTCTTTCTCACCATCCACTCACCCCCTCCATTCTCTTTGACTTGACCTTTCTCTAAATACCCATATCTGGGCTCTGCTGAAAGCTGGATGGTTCTGCTCAAAGGTTATCTCTGAAATCCAACTCGTCCTCCCTGTGCACCCAGCTGAAATCCCTTTGGAATGCCCAGGTTTTCGAAGCAATCAGATTTCTGCCACACTTATCAGTGCTGTGCAGAGTCCCACACACCTTATCATTGGGATTTTCCTGGGAGCCTCTGGCAGTGCTGTGTTAAAGGGTTCTGTGAGAGAGTCTCACCCAACCTGTCACCATCTCCCTCACACTCCCTGTGAAGTGCCTGTGCCTTCTGCAGGCAGCCTGTCCTCCTGGCCCTGCTCCATCCAACCATCAGCTGGATTTTCCACTGCAGACATGCCGAGTTTTCCTGCCAGCCATGCCAGTTCCCGTCTGCTACCGTGTGCTTTTCCCAGGTTACTCCCTCTGCAGCAGAGGAGCAACCTGTAACCACTGACAAAGCCTTTTTTCCTTCTTCTGGATCCCTGCTAAAATCTCCTGGGCTGCCCTGCTACTGCTACCCAGTGTCTGCCTTCATGTTTGTGCTCCTTTGCCTGTGTATGTCTCTTTGTGTCCCCTGAGTGTGTCCTTGGGATGTGGGCATACTTCTGAGCGTGGGACTGTCCCTCTGTGCCATCAGCAAGATGAAACCATCATACAGCCCATAATGAGGGAGGAAAGTGTAATCATGGAAGCCTAAATGATGAAGTCAGGTCATTTAGGTTTCTGAAGCAGCAAACACCAGGCTGGTTTCAGGGCTTGCAAATCTCCGGATTCCCAGGCCCATTGTCGTGGTGTTGCCTCTGTCAAGCACAGCAACTCTGGCTCTCCTCCCACAGATTATCTGGGCATGCAAATGACCTCAGACAGATACACTGTCATTTTCTCATGCTGTGATTTTCCTTACACCCCCCTGCGGGACTTGACAATAAAATTACCCCTCTTGTTCCTTTCCCACAGACAATCTTGCAGCGTGTCAGTCAGCATCGTGAGCAGTCCCCCATCCATTGCTCCTGGGACCTGGGGGGTGATTTGGAAAGGATCTGCTGGGCTGTCACTCACCTCCATCTGCCTTCAGGAGAAGGATTCTGGGTTCCATGCTGTTTCCTCTTGTGCCTGCGTGGCTCTTTGATCACAATTGGCTTCTCAGGCCTGCAGAATCACAGCTGCCCTGTAAGGTTTGCCCGTAATCCTGCTGACATGTTGTTCCCTGGCAAGCTCTGGGCTTTACTTGCTCCCAATTTGGGATTAACTGCTATTTCTGATGATTCTGCTGTTCCACAGATGTCCTGTTTCTTACCTGGATTTAAGAGCTGTCTGGGTCTAAAGTACTCCTGACCTCTGTTGCTGTCATCTGACCAGCCACATTTTTACTTCAAGGTTTCATTATTGAATCCATTGCTCGCTCTTTCTCTCTCTCTCTCTCTCTTTCACTCTCACTCTCATTTTTGTCCCCACTGACCCTTGTGCACAACATAGAACCAGACCTGCACCAGGAATTTGTGTGGAGAGCCTACATGAGCCTGCAGCACTCACCAGCGCTTGCCAGCAAGGTTCCTGTCTGGAAAACAAAAGCAACAGAGCTCTGACATGACAGCAAGATCCATGTCAGATAAACCCTTATGCTTTCTCATCTTCCTCCCCAAAAGACTTCAGACATGCACTGAAGTTTACACTCCTGGAGCTGAGTTTGAGCTGGTCAAGCCGGGATCAGAAATGCTTGCAGGCAGGAAGGTTTGGACTCAGATGTTTCTCTTCTTCCCACTTACTGCACCTCCCACTTCTAGGAGCAGAGTTGGTTGCCAGCTGCAAGCCAGTGGCCATGTGCTTCTTTCCGGGGCAGAGCTAGTGGTGATATCAGTAGTGGGGTGTGGAGCTGCTCCAGGAATCTTCGTCTCTAGGAGAACTGTCTTGCTAGTGATGGGGATAGTGAGCTGTTGTGGATGGCTGTTACTGAGCACATCAGTGTGTTTTGTGGATATGAGCTGTAAAAGTCAGAGAATCAGAGAATCTCAGCCGGGTTTGGGCTGGAAGGTGTTATGAATAAAAAGTTATCTATTTTTTTTAAGGTTGCAGAGTTAAAACCGGTTGGACCAGTTGCTATTAAGTTAGCTTCACTGTTGAGAGTTCTTCTTCAATTGCCCAAAAAGGAGAAAGATCTCCTGCCCATTTCTTTCAGAAGGGACCTTAAAGTTCATCCAGTCTCACCCCCTGCCACAGGCAGGGACACCTTCCACTGTCCCAGACTGCACCAGGCTCTGTCCAACCTGGCCTTGGACACTTCCAGGGATCCAGGGGCAGCCACAGCTGCTCTGGGCAACCTGTGCCAGGGCCTGCCCACCCTCCCAGCCAGGAATTCCTTCCCAATATCCCATCCATCCCTGCCCTCTGGCAGTGGGAAGCCATTCCCTGTGTCCTGTCCCTCCATCCCTTGTCCCCAGTCCCTCTCCAGCTCTCCTGGAGCCCCTTTAGGCCCTGGCAGGGGCTCTGAGCTCTCCCTGGAGCCTTCTCCTCTCCAGGTGAGCACCCCCAGCTCTCCCAGCCTGGCTCCAGAGCAGAGGGGCTCCACCCTCAGAGCTTCTCCGTGGCCTCCTCTGGGCTCTCTCCAGCAGCTCCACGTCCTCCCTGTGCTGGGACCCCAGGGCTGAGGCAGCTCTGCAGGTTGCAGGTCGGGTTTCACCTGAGGAGGCAGAGTCCCCTCCCTTGACTTGCTGATGCAAAGCTCCACTGTGCAGAGGCCATGTCTAGATCAGGTAACTTTTTAGAGGCCTGAAAGGTCTGAGCATCCAAAGATACCCTCTGGAGAGTGGGAAGGGAGCAGAGCCCATGAAGGAGGAAGACAGATTGTCCAGAGCATAGAGGAGGAGTGTCTGGAGTGGAAAAGGCTCCCTAGGCACAGGACACACTCTCTTTGCACCGCCTGCCCCAGAGAAGAGATTGGGTAGGTAGGATTGGGTGTACAGAGCCCCTGTGAATGCTAGAGCTCAGAGTTCCACTCCCTTCCCACATCTCCTGTGTCTGCCAGAGAGGGAAAAGCACTGAGGGAGAAATACTCCAAGCTTGCCCTGAAAGCAGGGACTATATCAGACTGCAGTAAGAAATTACTTCAATTTTTCTGTAATATTTTTAATGTTTGATAATATGAGGAGTGACCTCCTGGTCAGATGTTTCAGGAAATTTAATGACCATCTGTGAGAGGGACCTTGGCTTCACCTTCCATCTTCCAGGCTTGCAGAAGCTGCCAGCTCATCTCCGGCATGTGCAGCAGCACTGATGTTACCTGGGGTTAGCAAGGGAAAGTTTCCCTAGGTCCTTCTTCTCCTGCCTGAATTCTGGCAAACAGGGTTCATGAATCCCTGTTTGTACAGTCAGAAAATGCCCTTATTCCCTTCAATTATAATCCCAAACTGAAAAATTAATTGAGGCAGGTATTAAATTAGGCAGGTTTTTCTTGACTAAATATTTACCATTTGGGAGCCTAATCTATTCACTTAATAATCTAACCCTTTTTTATTTTCTATTATTGGTTTGCAAAAAATAATAATGTCTGTTCCATTAGGAGCTGCTGCTGGCTTAAGAGGATTTCACTCCCATTTTATGGTTTGGATCAAAGAAAATTTATTCTTGCAACAGATTTAATGATTCTTAGCTAACATTGTCTTCCCAGCTGCAGTTGGACTGTAATAAAAAACCCTTTAGCTTTTGTTAGACTTGCACATTCTTTGCTGCCAATAATGATTAATCTTTCTCCCTACAAGCCCACCTTATTACTTGGGTTTGACTTAGGAGCTGCCGTTCCCTCCGGAGCTTGGTCAGGGCTTTCTCCCAGCACAGCTCTGGAGCAGCGCAGGTGTGACCTCAGTGCCTCCCTTGGCAGTCTGTCTTTGCCCCCTAATTGCTGCTCTGTGGCACTCCTCCACACAGCAGAGCTATCTTGGGGATGACAGGGAATTAATTGCAAGAATTCCTGAATACTTCCATGCATGGGAGGGCCTGTGGCATGCCAGCAGGGAGGGTTGTCTAGAAACAGGGGTGAGGAGATGCAGGGGTGGGGGGCAGCTCCCACTGCCCCCGACCTTGAGCAAGCATGGGGAGCACGGATCCTCACCCCAAACCAGGCCACTGCCTCCTCCCAGCTCTGCTTTTCCCTTTCCCACAGCTCCCAGGGGCACAGACCATATCCCAGCCATCCTCTAAATCAACAGGGAGGG